TCTGCCTGGACACAGCTCCAGTGCCCAGGCACCACCCAGTCGCAGGGGATAGCGTGTTTCCAAAAGAATTCAACCATACGATAGGAATGGATGCGCTCGAGGTCAAGGACTTCTTCGGAAATCGCTATACTGCTGTCAATATAGTTGACATGGGAACCAGTTTCCAGCAAGTTGTGCTCGTGAAATCTGGAGGGGGCAACCCAAGTGCCCGCCAGTGCGTGAAATGCCTGATCGACAGGTGGATCAGCTGGGCTGGACATCCCAAAGTCATAACTACTGACAGAGGGACGCATTTCAGAGGAGAATTTTCAGAGTATCTGGCACAGCATGGTATAATCCATAAGAATGCCCCTCTCGAGAGCCCGCAGACCATCGGAAAGGTCGAGCGCCATGGTGGTCTTGCCAAGGCCATCATTAGGAAGGTCGCGCAGGAAGCTCAGCCCTCGAATATCGAGGAGATGGAGGGGGTCGTTACCGAGAGTGTTACTACTAAGAACGAGCTTAGTAGACACCAAGGGTTTAGCCCAGCACAACATGTGTTGGGAAAGCAGCCTCGAACACCAGGTTCCGTGCTAGATGAATCCGAAAGCCTTGGTACATTGTTCACCAAGTATGATGAGACGAGCGTATACTACGTTCGGCACAGAGCACGGCAGGAAGCCAAGAAGGCCTTTGTCCATTTAGAGACTTCTCGCAAAGTGGCCAAAGCATTACAGCGTAATGCAGCCCCTCTAGACACCGACTATAAGGTTGGTGACTTAGTTATCTATCGCCGAGACAACGTCCCTGGCAGCCCAGGTGTCGTATGGTCCACGGTTAGCCGCGCATTGGACGCGAGGCAGAGAATGCGTACTGGGTATTACACGAGAATATCCCTGTACTAGTGAACGCTAGGAAGATGCGCCCAGCTGATGAAGTTGAAGTTGCAGCGCATCGCATTTTGGCAGGTGAACCAGTGCTTCCGGAAGCCATCGTACATGGGCCGGAACAAAGGTTCCAGGATGAACGCGTAGCGGACCCGGTCACAGCACCAGCGACGCCACGTCCAGTGGCCGTAGCTGCCCCGCTTACACCGGCAGTCGCGCATGATGTGCCTATGCCAGCACCATCGACGCCAGCGATGATGCCCGGCACACCGATGCCAGCGCCATCTACTCCCGCAAGGTTTCGCGCCAAAGATAAGACGGGCGAAACCGCTCGGTCGCGATCACCAGTAGGAGGCCGTGATGACGCACTAGTTGCGGAAGAGCTTGATCAAGTAGAGATCATGGCAAAAGGCCTGATAGATGCTCAGGGTTTTTCCCCAGATGAATGTCTGGCCCTCCTTCGCGCTTTTGACCGCGACCGACGCGAGGCGTACACGCGCCCGCTCCTAGATGATGGAGATCCCGGGAGCATAGCCCTCGCGGTAGGAGTATATCGACACGGTGGTCTTGTTGGTGTCTCTGGACCGACGCGCGAGAGACCGTCGTTCGCCATGTACCTCAACCACTATCTCTTGCATCACAGTATGCAAGCCGGACACCACCTCCCACAGTGGAGTAGCGTTCAGCTTACCAACAGAGGCGCAGAGGCCCATAGGGACCTAGCGAACACTCCTGGCTCGTATAACTACACTATAGGTGTGGGCGAGTATCGTGGAGGCGGTCTATGGGTGGAAGAAGCCACGGGTACAACCCCCGTGCGTGTTCAAAACGCGACAATGCATGGCACCGTCCATGATACTAAGAACAAGGTTCTTAAGTTTCGCCCAAAGGACGTGCACATGGTCGCACCGTTCGTAGGAGAACGATACAGCATCTCCGCATACACGGTGAGTGACCTCGGCAAGTTGTCTAAAGATGACATACAGCTTTTAACGGATCTAGGCTACCCCATATACAGGGATACGCCTAATATCTTTGGCAGGAAGAGCGATGGGATATATACCATGGGTCATTCTGACCTTCCCATTGAGACGTTCCTAGAACGCATTCACGAATACGGGATCAAAGAAATCGTTGACTGCAGGAGTCACCCGTATAGCGTTCGGCATCCACAATACAATTGTGATGAGCTTTCTGCCACATGCTTTGCAAAAGGAGTTGTGTATAGTCACGCCCCCGAGTTAGGCAATAGGAACCGGGGCGGGATTGAGGCCAACCTGCAGACAGACCAGGGGCTCTGTACGATCGCTAGGATAGTTAGCGAGGCTCACGATGATTTTCACCGGACACTTCTCTTGTGTTCGGAGGCCAGTTGGCGGCGATGCCATCGGCGAAATATCGCCCAGCACCTATGGCTCGAGCATTCGAAACTCGCGGAGCACATACGTGCTAGCGGACTGCCAGAGGCCCATCCGTGTCACTACGCCCCTGAGGAGGACGACGGACTGGCAGCAGCATCGCACACAGCTGCGATTGGCACGACAGTGCCAGCAGTTGAGCCCTCGGATGGTCGCGAGGCGGAATCCAAGGCCTTTGCTCTCACCCCTGATGGGGAAGATGCCTTCGGCTCTAACGTCGATGTTGGCTATATGGCTTCGCTCTTGGACTATCACAAGGCTCCTGTGGAGGTGCAGTTAGGCCTGGATGCTGCTATGAAGACTGAGTGGCAGAAGTACACCGAGTTCAATGCGGTGGTCCCTTGCACAGACAAGGAGTTTAAGGAGCTTACAAAAGCTGGCCACGTGTGTATCCCCACCAAATGGGTTCTTACCGATAAGAACGAACACCTAAAGGGGACAGCAGCATACACTCCCAAGTGGAAAGCACGCTTGGTCGCATGTGGAAACTTCGAGCATATCTCGAATGAGGAGGATATCAGGGCAGATAGCCCCACGGCCGAGCCGGAAGGTATAGCCCTTCTGTGTTCATGGGCGGTTTCGTTGGCCCTGCGGCTCAAAGCAGCCGATATAACGAACGCATACTTCCAAGGGAAACCCCTTGAGCGCCTCCTCATCCTTCGGGTTCCCAAACACCCTAAGGGTGTGCCCGATGCAGAAATTCAGAAAGCCGGGTATATGATTGCCCGAGTACCCGTGTACGGCACCACCGACGCGGGCCGGAACCTTTATCTCCGTATAAAGGAGAGTTGTAGAGAATTTGGCTTAAATTTCTCGCAAATTCTGTCAGCCCTGTACTATATTACAGGAGAAGGTGGTCGTTTGTGTGCTTGCTTGTGCACCCACGTGGATGATTTCCTGTGGGCTGCTACCGCCGAAGGCGAGCCAGCTATCCAGAATCTGCTGGATAAGTTTAAGATCGGTCGCATAGAGACTGAGAAGTTCCGCTTCTGCGGACGCGAGTATGTGCAAAGCGCCGATGGGACCATCAGTATAAACTGTAGGGACAACACGCGTGCAATTCGCCCGATCGATATACATAAATCGGAAAAGGGCTCGACTCCAGTCTCGAATGGCCAGCGCACAGCGCTGAGATCTGTCATAGGATCGCTGGCCTGGGTGGCTCGCGCCACGAGACCTGATCTTGCCTATAGGGTGAACGCCCTGCAGCAGCGTGTTACGACAGCCACGGTGGATACGCTCCGTGAAGCAAACCGCGTAGTAGCACTGGCGTTAGGAGATGCGGATAGGCCGATCACGTACAGCGCTAAGTTACCCTGGAGCACAGGGGATCTGGCAGTTGTCACGTTTTGCGACGCTTCTTTTGCAGGAGAGGCGAACCATAAGTCGCAGAGAGGCCGTTTCCACTATCTCACTTCCGCACAGTCGGCGGTGGACAAGAACGCGCCAACGCGTGAGATGCACCTCATTTCGTTTTCCTCGTCCACCATGAAACGGGTTTGTCGAGCCACACTACAGTGTGAGGCTTACTCGTTGCAACATGCCATAGAGCATGGGGATCGTATTCGAGCAGCAGTACTCGAAGTACTTGGCAAACTGCCCCGGTCACAGAACTGGGAAGAAGTTGCTAAGAGATCGATGTTCCACCTGCAGTATACGGACTGCAGGTCCCTTTCGGATCACTTGACAGCGTCGATTCCAAAGTCTTGCGAGGATAAACGCCTTGCCATTGAGATGTCTGGACTCCGCCCGGGACTCTGGGAGGAGGACGAGCTAACGCACGTCCTGTACCACCCCTGTGGCGACGAGTTGAGATGGATACCGACGCATTTACAACTCGCGGATTGTCTCACTAAGAGTATGAAACCGCTTTTGATCAATCACAGCATTGATCGCAATCTTGTACAGGTACTCGATGTGCCCGCGCAAGCCGCACAGAATACCGAGAGTACCGAAAGCACTCCGCTTCACGATTGAAGAACTCAGCCTTGAGCCTTGAGTCGCCGTACTCGGCTCGGTTGACTGTGCAAGCTCCCGGTATAATCCGGTGAAGTAGGTTTGGTCCAAAGCGACCAAAATTCGAGCATGATTCGCACGTCACACTACAGATAAGACGGGTGTGAAATTTCCCTGTCTTGAAGGGCCGTGTTGACATGTCCTCATGCGAGCGTAGATTTTCACGTTTAGTTCTGGACGCACCCTGTATGACAGACGTCTTGGGCTCAGACCAAAAAGTGCGCTCGTTGTGTGGTTGGACACTCACTAATCCAGTTCCTGCTTCAAAAGGGTATAGGGGGTATTTCTGCGATGGAGATACGGTTCGATTGTTCGGGTTCCATATTTTTGGGGTGTAGAGTTTAGGGTTTAGGGAAGAGGGCTCCCATTTTTCTAGGGTTTAGGGACCTTCAAGAGGCCCTAATTTAGAGAACTACCCACGTGGGTGTAGGAAGCGCAACGTTGTTGCTTTTTGTAACAGCTTTTCCCCTTGCCCTTTGTAGCAGGGGGTGCAGAGACCTCCTGTCCAAGGTCCAGCGCATGCCTGTCCCAACATCCTTGGGGACCAGATGACCCTTAAAAAGTAGAGGCCCTCTGCCCTTATCCTAAAAGAATCCCTATAGGCCTTGAGCCCTTTTCGGATCCATTTCGTCCTCAAGGATGGACCGACAAGACCTATATAAACCCGAGCCTGAAGCATCCCCACTGCCCCAAGCCGCAGGATCTTTACTTCGGAATCCCAGAAGGAGAGTGCCTGGGGCTCCTCGGCCAACGAGAGGATGAGCCCCTAAACCCTATACCTTAAACCCTGGTGAGAGTTTGTGCCGAGACTCGCAAGCAGATGTGATCTAGATGCTTCTGTCAGAAAAGTTCTCCAAGATTGCTGCCTCAGTTGCACTGGACACTGTTGACTCAACCAGATTGCCCAACCAGCTACACCCCAAATCGCCAACAGCTCGCGCACTCAGCAAAGCCTGAACCTGCCCTCAAAGTCTTGTACCGCACGTTGTTTTTCCTAAACGCTGAACTCTAAGCCCTGAACCCAAAACCCTAAACTCTGGCCCGAGGTTCTTGGGTCTCAACGGCGCCGGCAAGACGACGACCATGACACTTGCCTCATCCAGTATCGCTTAATTAAGGATTATTCCTTAACTCATATTGGGGATCCTACTATAATTGTATATCCCGGAATTTTGCTTGATCTTCCGATCGTCGCCAAGATAAGAAAGCACCGTGGGGAAGCCGCTTACCACATAAGGAGATCCCAAGCAACTGAAAGCAGGAACCAGTTTGAAAAGGAGACCAGGTTCAGGGCCTAGTGTGTACATGGGTTAAGTTTAGCGTTTCGGATCCAATTGTGAGGGAACCTACCTTAAAGGCCCCCAGTCGTACCGAGTCGTACCCTTTCGCACTTTTTCTCTGTGGGTTCGCTTCTTAAAACCACGTAGTAGGAAAAAGGCTCATCGTAGTAGGAATCTCAAAGCGTACCCACTCACTAGGTCTCTTTGTGAGGAACTCAATCTGAGCTAGCCTTGCATTTGCGCATACCCCAAACCTCTACATCCTAACCCTAAAGCCCTACAAACCCTACTAGTGTAAGTCTTCGCGCGGCTTGTTAACCATATCCTGTAAACCCTGAACCCTGAACCCTGAACCCCTCAGCCCGTGAAGCCCACCTGGATTGAGGTTGCAGACAGGAGCTTCTCTCAGGTGTTTTTGATTCTGGATCCATGTGTGCTTGTGCGATTCGTACTTGGAGGCTCATGGGACTTTGTAAGTAAGGTTATAATCATAAGTACCTTAATTGGAGTTACAAGGAGTTGTAGCTATACTTATTTTATTTTTTACTTGAGCCATAGTTGCTAAGCTCCATGATCCTCTAAGTACTTGGCTTCAGGTTAGATGGTATCTTTGAGTTCACGAGAAACGCACTCTCCAGTCACCGAGGTTCTCCCGAACCTGGGAAAATAGCATAACAGCCTTTTACAGGTGTTGGGCCATGGTTTCGCCTACCGTTGGGGGTTTAGGTAAAACAAACCTTACACCCTCCACCCTCAGCCCCAAACCCTATCAGCCCTAACCCTCAACCCTTTGTCAACCCTAAACCCTCCAACCTCAAACCTTCTCAGGAAGATGTTGACTGGCGAGGAACTCTGCACCAGCGGTGATGCATCGATCGGTGGTTTCGACATCAAGACGCAGCAGAACCAGGTGCCCTGCCATGGTTTAGTCTTAAGGGCTCACCGAAGCGTGTAAGATCTAAACCCTAAACCCGAAAAGAGCGCCAAAACACACCAACACCCCTGAGCCCTCAAAGGTTTCGCACGAAACGCTAAGCTCTAAACTTTAAGCCCCCGAGGGTCCAGCATCACGCGGTTCGCAGGATCCAGGAAGTCACGTGATGTCGCATTGATTGACATGGCTTTATCACTAATGGCCTCATCACTAAGACTAATTATTTACTGCACGGCCGGACGACCACCGGGCACGACGGGTTTATGTAGGGCGTAGGGTTGATGTGGGATTTATTTGGGGTTTACATGGGTAACATGGTTAAGGGTTTATATCGGATTTTGCTTGATTTACACCTCAAGCGTCACAAGTATGTGCCCCAAAGCCCACCGAAAGCGTCCTTGAAGCATCGCAACCTGAAGCTTCTATTGTGGGTGTCTAGAGAGTTTCGTTTAGGGTCTAGGGCTTAGGACGTAATATGGAAGCCTGCAAAATTACCAACATCACTAGCATATTTGCATTGCCTTACATAAATCCGAAAAGGAATCTTTGAGAAATTGTGAACACGCCGCCAATACTTGGAGGGTCAGGGGACTTAGCAAATAGTTGTTGTATAGACTTACAAGCATCCTAGCGCTGATTAGGATCCCGTTTACGGTGCCTACAGGATTACTACCTAGCTACTCACTGTTGATGATATAAATCCTGCATTACCCATAATAAGGAATATACCACCATTCTCATAGTTTAGGGTCCTTAAGGTATTGCAGGATTTAAGTCATCAACCGCAAGTGCCACGACCCTCCAAGTGGAACTTGTGGGGAGGTCCGGAGGTTGATTGGCTACTGCCCGCAGTTCGATGCCCTGATAGGCCTTCCCGCCACTTGTTGTGGGAGCTTCGGTGGAAGGCCAAACCATAAAAAGGGTTTCGGGTTCCTGCTCTTAACCCTAAACCCTAAACCCTAAACCTTTTTTCTGGGTTCGGATTTGGGGTTAATAAAAGGTCTAGGGTTCCGGGCTTCTGGGTCTACGGTTTTTGGTGACTTTAGGGTTTAGGGTTTAGGGTTTAGGGTTTAGGGGTGCTTATTGGGGAAGGTGGCACTAAGCAGTAAGAGTATTCTGCTGTAGGCCTTGATTTTCTGTACGGCCAACAACCCGAGGCACTCAATTGAGGCCTCTAAGTTTCTAGGTAGGCCTTGGGATATTTTATGTTTTCCCTTATTGGGCTTAACAGGACCCTATTTACACCAATTTTTTAGAGGCTTTAAAGGGCCAACCTAGGTTCATTTTCTTGAAGAGGCCTCTCAGCAGCTTAACAGTTGAGTAGATGGCAGAAGGGTGCCGAAACCCATTGGAAGACGTTTCAAACGTGTCTAAGGCCCCAAGCTCTAAAGCTCCTTCCGACCCCGCAAACCCTATGAACTAAAGATAGAAACATGTAGAGAGACAAACTTTCACGTCATAAAACAGCATGAAAATCTACAACACCGTTTCAAAACAGCTAAAATATCATCGCACGAAAATGTCACTAGACTCGCCTCAGAGCACTGCCTAAACCCTAAACAGCAAACTCTAACAGTAAAGCCTTAAAACCCTAAACCCCCAAAAGCCCGAAACCCCAAACCCTAGACCCTCAACCCCAAAACCCCCAAACCCGAAATCCCTAAAGCCCCAAACCCGCAGGGACGCTCACCGCTCGGGAGCATCTCACTCTTTTCGCCCGAATCAAGGGCTTTCCCGAGTCGGAGCTGCCGGCATACGCAGCTCGGCCCTGGAAAGTACCCAAGACCCTAAACCCTAAAGCCCTACATCATAGGTTAAAAAAAGACGGCTAAAGCCCTAAACCACTTGAAGTTTCATAAGGGTTCGGGGTTTAGGGGTTTAGGGTATATATATATATATATATATATAGAGGCCCTTGAAAATACCCAAAACCCCGCTTAGAGGATCATTGGACTCAGTATCTAGGCTTATAAACAAGGTAAGCATAGTCATAATGAATTTATAACCGGCATACGCAGCTCGGCCCTGGACTTGAAGAATAAGTACAGGGGCCTTATAAAGGGGTCTTTTCGGGTTACTATATGGGATCTATAAGGGAACTATAAGGGGCCTTAAAAAACCCTTTATCTTACCTTTGGTTAGTAGGGAATGGAAGAATGGTAGTAATAGTAGTTATAATTCTACCCCATTCCTCCATTCCCTACTAGCCAAAGGTATGTGGAAAGTACCCAAAACTCTAAACCCTAAAGCCCTACATCATAGGTTAACACAAGAAGCCCTAAACCCTAAAGCCCTAAACCCCTTGCAGTTTCATAAGGGTTCGGGGTTTAGGGGTTTTGGGGTATATACCCTTGCTATAGAATCATAGAGCCCTTGTAGTTCCCTTTGAAGCAACCCTAATTACAGACTTGCCCTTCTACTTCCCAACCCTAAACCCGAAGCCTTAAACCCTTGACAGGTCTATGAGGGTTACGAGGGTTTAAGGTTTATGGGTCTATAAGGGTTTCAGGGTTTATGAAGCCAGGGTTGCTCTTGAAAGTTTATGAGGACGCTACAAAAAAGTAGGTCTTGGTAGGTTCAGGTAGGGTTTGCAAGGGCTTAGGGTTCGTATGGGCTTATAAGTTCAGGGTGTAGGGTCTATACGTGTTTAGAGTTTGTCTGACTTAGGGTTCCAGAATTAATTGTTTAGAATTACTTATAAGGGCCTAGGGCTTAGGGTTTAGTTTAGGGTTGCCGTTTTCGTTCCTGTCTCTTTCCTTCTCTCTGTAGACCAGTATATAAGATGTAACAATTTATTAGGGTGTGTGTAGATACATATACCTGTACGCGTTGTTGCCGGTCTGCCTGGCTGGCTGTCTGTCTGTTTGGCTGTCTTTCCGTCTGCTTGTTTGTATGCATGTAGGTATTTCCATAGAGTAGTTCCTCCTCTCTCTGTCTCTGTCTCTCTCTCTCTCTCTCAGTCCCTCTCTGTCGTTCCTTCTTTCTTTCTCCATCTCTGTACATATAGTATTATATACACATATGATTCGCCTGTGCTCTTCCAGGTCGATTCGCTCTTGGACCAGCTGACACTGCGGCCTTATGCCGACAAGCAAGCTTTCTCCTTCTCAGGAGGCAGGGAGTCGGATTCAGGGGTTTGGTTTAGGGTTTGTGGGTTTGTTGTTGGCTTTGGCTGGTTTCGGACTACTATTACTGTTACTGCTGTTTTGTGTTATTCCAGCTGTTATTCGTATCATTGCAACGACAACTTCAAAGTTAACCACCGCCACCGTCGCCGCCACCAGCACCAGCATCAGCACCACCAACACTTCTCGCACCAGTCCTCCTGCTTCGTGGGGGTGTCCTAAGCATGGCTTGTGCGTGGAGTTGTTTTTAGTGCGCACCCCTCTGGAACTTCGATCTTCTCGCCGTAGACATGCTTTGCCGCTCACACTTCCCCAAACTTTTCTCGCGGAATCCCGCAATTGTTCATGCTATCCATGCCGGCCCCCATTGCCTCAACATCCACGGCAGTTCTTCATCAGGAACACGCCGCAAGCTGTCTCTGGGCCTGCGGCTGGGCAGTAACTTCAGCTCAGATACACTCCAGAATTACTGGAAGAGCTACGATAAGGGATACGACAAGGGTTACCTTAAGTACCATATTTCAATAAGGGTAACCACATGGAAGAACAAGCCCAATAAAAAAGACTAGGCCGGAAGTCTCGAAAGAGGGTGTCGGGGTCGCCGGGTCCTCTCTGCGGGTCCTAGATAGGCATCCTACCCATACACACGAACACCCTACCTCAAGATCTGATCTACTACGATATGTTGCAATATAGCATGTGTTTCAGCATCACATAATGCGTGCAAGATAATGCAAGCGCATCACGGCGCAACATAACGTAATCAAAGGCATGGTCCCCCTACCCCAAACTATCCAAAGCACTGTTATGGGGGATACTTTCCCAAATCATAATAATCATTCCTTTTATAGAAACCCTACATTCTACTATAAAGGTGCTTTGTACCCTTTGGGTACACCCACTATCCGAGGTCCCTCGTCGGCGACCCACGCTGCGTCTTTCTGGACGAGCCGACCACGGGCGTGGATCCCGAGTCGCGCAGGTTCATGTGGAAACTTGGCCGTTCATTGTATGGCCGATGTGGCCCCAACGAAAGAGCTGCATCGATGGAGCAAATGCTTAGTTATAGGGTCCCGAAGACTCAGAACTGTAATTAGTTAGGGCTCCGAGTTTCTATTTGCGCTGCTGCAATAAACCCCCGAGCCCTTTTCTAATGATTGCTAATCCTTAGATCCTCTCTGTCACACATAGTTTTGTGCATGCTGGACGCAGAAACTGTCATCCGCGTCCCCTGAGCCCACAGAAGCCACGGCAAGGAAGCTGATCTCCAGCACGATGGTTGGTCGTGCGGTGATCCTGACCACGCACTCCATGGAGGAGTGCGAGGCTTTGTGTAACAGCCCTCGGGCTGCAAGATGTTCAGCAGGTGATCTTTCGAGGGTATTACTAGGATTAAAGTTTCAGGCTTGATCCATTCGTTTAGAAACATATCGAAGCTTCAATACTCCGTAGTACCATTCTTCAGAGTTCCTTATCGTAAGTGCAGTGCAGCATGCCTTTCCTGTAGTCATGTTAGGCCATGAAGGCTCATCCGAGCTTTCAGCTGCGAGCTTCCGAATCCTAAACCCTAAACCCATAAATCCAAGACCCTAGACCCCTAAACCCCTAAACCCCTAAACCCGAAACCGCTCATAAGCTCAGTTTGTCGAGGTGGGCTGCCAGCGGAGAGCCAGCACATCTTTGTGGATGTTTCTTAAGTCCGGGGCTTTTTTCGGGCGGCGCTTATGATAAGGGTCCTACTAGTCCTTATATGGAAGCCTGCATGTCCTACATGTTTACAGAGGCTTTCTTTGGAATGCCTAGTATAGTCATACCACCCAAAACCCTATTCTGAATATTGAGGCGCCTACAGGCCCCGTATTTCTCTTCAATTTCTTTCTTTCGTTCTTTTGAGATTTCATCCTTCTCCAGGACACCCAGCGCAGCATAGTTGGAACCATGGTGCCCTAAACCCGAAACGCTAAACCCAAGCCCTAAAATGTGAACCTTGAAGCCCAACTTAAGAATTGGAATTATGGTGAACAATTTACATGTTCATGGGTAAACCCAGTAACGATCCCAACCCTGAACTAGCCCCCTAAACCCTAAACCCTGAGCCCGAAACTGAACCGTAAACCCTAAACCCTAAACCGTTAGCTCAGGAATCGGAATTATGGTGAACGGGCGCCTGGTCTGTTTGGGATCTGCGTCACAGCTGAAAGCCGCGCATGGCTACGGCTCCTTGGATCCCATTGCAGCTTACTGGCTTTAGGGTGTTTAGGGTTTTTAGGGTTTTTATGGTTTTTAGGGTTTAGGCAAGGGTTTTTGGGTTTGTAGGGTTTCAGGGTTTAGGGTTTATAGTTTATAGGGTTTATGGTGTATATAGGTTTTTTTGGGGGGTTTAGGGTTAGGGTCTAGACTTATTGGCTGTAAGCTCAACTTTTGAACTTTTGGGGGGTTCTTTTTAAGGTGGTCGATTCTGAGAGTTTCAACTTTTATTTGCTTCATTGCTGGGCCAGCAAGGGAGCGGGCTAGGGCGTGTTTTTTTTTTTTTTTCACTTTTCTCTGTGTTTCCTGCGGTGTTTGAGGCTAACCCTAAACTCCTTGAATTTGAACTAGTAAGTATTTGGTGATTTCGTCAAAGTGGTTGCGTGGGAGAAGGTGTGGGACTGTCTGGGTTTTTTCGCCCATGCCTGCGACGTTTGCGATTGTTTGCATGCCGCTGCTTGACCTGCCCCGGTTTACAGCTCAGGGTTTAGGGGCTTTGGGGGGTTTAGGGGTTTAGGATTTAGGGGTTAGGGCGCCAGGATGTCATGCAGCTGGAATTGCGCATGTTTCCGACAGGCCGAAGCATATCCGTGTGTGCGACCTTTCTGATGCCATGCCACAGCATCTAAACACACCAGGATCACTGCATTTTCGTACCCTGGCCACACCAAATCCTGAACCCAAAAGCCTTGGAGTAGTATCCACTTAAAATCCGTCTCAGAACCCCAAAGGGTCCAAAGTACCTTTATAGTAGACAGTAGGGTTTCTATATGAGGAATTACTACTATGATTTGGGGAAGTATCCCCCTTAACAGTACTTTGGTGTAGCATATTCCTCAAACCCCAAGTAACCGTAAGGCCAGCCCCGATACCCCTACCGAAAAGGGCAGCATTGCCGAGAGCTGAGATTCTCGCGGCCCAGAAGCAGCAAGAGGAAGCCTAGCTGGACCCCAACAGTGTGTAGAATAATAGCCCTTGAAAGGTGTTAGGCCATTGTGTTGCCTACTTTTAGGGGGGGCTAGGTATACGGTATATACCATAGGCAACGTTTAGGGTCTTAGGGGTTCAGGGCTACGGGTATAGTGGTCGAAACTACGGGAACCCTCAAACGAGCGATTGAAAGCCACAAGGTAAGATATTGTTAATTCCGACTACCGCCATATGGCTACAGTATAGAATGCCCCACCGTCCTAACATATTCACAAAAAGCCCTACAACACCCCAACATGCCGAAGCTTGAACAGTTCGTAATGCTATATTTAGGGTGACTATCATAGTACAACATGATATACTTCCAAGCCCGATTCTATTTATTACACCCCCCAGTACAGTAGCATCCATTGGCTAGACCCTCAACTCTGAGCACCGAACCCTCCCAACCCATGAACCCTAAATAACTTCTAAACCCCCAAAAACCCCTGAACCATAAATCAACTCTAGACCCAAATAAAGCTTTAACCTCTAAGCCCTAAACCCTGGCAAACGACTTCTTGCAGGGAGGAGAAGCGGCGACAAACAAAAGACAAACCCTCGCAAACCCCAAACCCTTTGAGGCTACCGCTTTTAGATCCCTTAACGGAGCCCTACGGTTGATGATATACGTCCTGCATTACCTTAAGGACCCTAAACTCTGGGAATTATGGTATACTCCTTATTATGGGTAATGCAGGATTTATATCATCAGCCGTAGGAGTCTCTGGGAACTCTGAGGCTACCAGTTCGAGGTGACCTTCGCGTCTGATGTAGACCACGCCAAGGCTGGGGCTTCTAAGAGCTGTTAGAAACTAGGGAGTTTTGGGGGTTCAAGGTTCAGGTAGGGTTTAGGGGTTTTAAGGGTTTAGGCGTTTAGAGGTTTTCAGGCTCAGATAGGGTTTAGGGTTGGCCTGGGGGGCGTAGGGTTTAGGAGTTTGGAGTTTAGGGCTGAGGGTTTCGAAGCAAGATGTCAAGCACTGCAACTTCAGAGCACATCCCGGACCCTAAATTTAGGGACCCAGAGAGCACGTAAGCATAAGCATTGTGTGGGGAGATCCCTACCTTATTGGGCTTCATTATAAGGGGTCTATATGGGATATCCCCGACCGCATCTTTGCGGATGTGCCTTTGTGGGGCCCCATAAACGACTAAACCAAAGCCCAAACCCTTCACCGAAGCGCTTAAACCTAAACTCCTAAATGCTAAACTTGAAACCCAAACCCTACACCTGCGTAGGTGTACCAGCCCTTACGATCATTTCAGCCTTCCTGGCGATGGTCCTGACAGGTTCACTTGATGAAGGGGCTTCGGAAACGAGGGGCTTCTTAAGGATACCTCTTGTGGAGGTAAATTTCTTGACAACGCAACAGACGCTTGAGCCCCAAAGGCAACTCCTACATCTTCATTTGCCTTGAAAGTTCTACACTAGCAGGGGGAATAGGGGCTCTCAACACGAAAGACTTTTCGCGTAAGTCTCTTAAACCCCCGAAAACCGAAACCTTAAGTTCAAGACGCTTTACCCTGCGGCGCAGCAGAGGCCCACGAAGACTTGCGCGGTTTCCTCCTAGGACTGCTTCTTGGCCGAAGCTGTCAAAGCGCTCATGTAGGAACCTGATTAAGAAACCCTGGGCCGATAACACCAAAATAGTAGGATTCATGTAAGAAACCCCAGTACAGGCCCAAGGTTTCTTAATCAGGTTCCTACATCAAACCCCTTGTAAAACCATATATTCAGTATCAAACAATACACCAAAATCTCCCCCTAGCCCCAAATAGGGGTACATGGTCCCAAATAAAGCCACTTAGGGTAAAGATAGAGCGCCTGGATGGCTGTCTGGACAGGTGAGTTGCCTAAAACAAAGACATTGCCGTAGAACCCAACAGACCCTCTACTTCTAGCCCTAAACAACACTGCACCACACTGAAGCCCGAACCGGAGTGTCCCTGTGCTGCAAGCCTCTTCCCATAAACTTTATACCGTTCGAACAGCCGCCGCCACAAAAAAAACCTGAACCTGAAATCCTTTCTGAATGTATTTCTTAGGGATCCTGGTTTAGTCAGTGCTTTTTGACGGCCTCTGTACACAAACGCTTGAACCCTACTTAGAGGAGCATGGAACGTAGTAATTAGGTCAATTATAGCTGTACCTTATAACTACTTATAACTCCAAGTCAGGAAGTCCCATGATCCTGTAAGCAGACCTAACCCCCAAAACCTGTAGATAGCCCTTACTTACTAATCCCCTTGATCCTCTACGCAGACCCTAAACCCCATAGATTCCTTTACGGATGCCTTTAAGGAAGCTTACTTACTTACTAAGTCCCATGATCCTCCAAGTAACCCAGAGAGCCCAATACCCCTTAATCAAGGAATATAGCTTAAATCATACATAATATGAAGCCCCTTATAATTTAAGGTATATTGCCTAATAAAGGGGCGTTGGGCTCTATGGGAAGCCCTGGAAGTGGAGCCTTCTTTTCACAAAAAGGGCCGAAGACATCCGGCTCTCATCCGCCGGAGCTCCTATCGGAGAGCTTCACCCGGGTTTAGGGTTTTGGGTTAAAGGTTTATAGGGGGTGTATAGGGGTTTAAGGTCAAGGGTTTGGGGTTAAGGGTTGTGGGTTTATAGGGGTTTATTTGGATAAAGCTCCTAATTCAGGCCCCTTGAACAAGAAAAAACAGCTTCATCCCGCAATGCTGATTAAAAAAGAGTTGTTATCTGAATCGAGGCTTTACCTGAAGCTGCAAAGACCTACCGATTTAGGGTTCCTCATTATGGTTTATGTGTTCATATAGTTCTTAGAAAGGTAGGCCTTTTCGGCTACAGGTACATCAAGCCTTGCAACCGGGAAGTCGCGAACCCTAAACCCTCAAGCTTCTCTTCAAACTCCGAGTCCTGTGCCCTTCTAATACAGGGGTCTAAGAAGGTCACCAGTACCGTTTCTGGGTTCCTTACCGTAGTTTGTATAGCATAAAACTCCACCAAAATGCTGTTCTAGTGATTACCTGGACCCCAAAAGTATGTAGAATCGTGGCCTTTTATAGGTTTTGAGTCATTATTTTACGTACTTTGGGGGGTCGAGGTAAGGCCCTTATCTTGCTCAGACTCCGAAGCTGAAGATCCTAGTGCTGCGAGGTTCGAAATCCTCTTTGACGTCTTGTAAAACTTTGGTGTGGCCCCGGTCCAGTAACAGTTCAATAGTAGGGTTTAGACTCAACTGTTTGTGGTCACTGTGTCTGGGCCGGGGCCACACCAAATCTAAAACCTCAATTACCTCTGAAGCTCCAAACCTGCAAAGCTACCTTCAAGGATCCCTCGGACCGTACTTAACACCTTACAGGGGCCCTTAAAGGGAACCCTATTCGAGACCCTCTAGTACCCTTATGTAGAGAGACTTATTATAGAGTGCTATAGTACCCTGAAATCCTGAAGCACCTAAAACCCTAATATAGGGGCCTTAATGAGAATAGGGTTTTGGGGCCTTTTCTGCTATGATTATGATAAGGAACCAGCAAAACAGCATAGATAACTATTTCGGCCCCTATATTAATACATTAGAGTACCCTTATCGAGCCCATATAGTATCCTTGTTATGTCCCTATAACCCTAAACCCCTAAACCCTATCTGACCTAGTGTAAGCCGATAAATCGGCTGGACCTCTGCAGAAAAAGGCCCCATTGCACTTAAAAAACAAGGAACCCCAAAAAATTGCATAGGTGATTATTTTGGTCCTTATGTTATGGTACCCTTATAGATCCCTGATAGCATCCTCTAAAGCCTCTATAGTAAGCCCGAGCTGTGAGGTTCCCTGAGGGACTGCGAGACGAGGATTCCGGAGCTGGCCAACGAGCTCGCGCGAGGTGCCTTGCACCACGAACTCCCTTAAAGAGCCCCTTTTAAGGGCTCCTTTAAGGGCTCCTTTAAGGGCTCCTTTAGGGGCTCCTTTAAGGGCCCCTTGTTAGGTTTTTGTTTTGTTTGCTAAAGTTCCTTGAAATGGGGCTTTAGATTTAGAGTTTTAGCCTGTTTTGGAGTGTTGAACCATAGCTTTAGGTCTTTCAAATATAGGCAGAGCCAGGCTGTAGGCGGTCGGGATTTGGGCGTCGATTCCTCAGGGTGGAGGGGCCAATGGGTCCAGAAGAGCAGCCCTGAAACCCACATGACAGACCCAGAGAGCCTAATACCCCATGATTAAGCAATATACCTTAAACTATAAGGGGCTTCATGTTATGACTTAAGGCATATTCCTTAATTAAGCAATGTACCTGAAATTATGAGGGGCTTCATATTATGATTTAAGCCGTATTCCTTAATTAAGGGAATAGACCTTAAGCTATAATCCTTAACTAAGGGGTATTGGGTCTCTGAGAAGCTCTGTGCTTTTTGGCCTGGTGCTTGATTTGAGAGTTCGGTAATATGGAGGTCGGAACAACTAGTAGTTTGGGTTTAGGGTTTATATATTAGGGAATTAGAAAGAGTATCCCCTTGTCAGGTCCCCAAACTAGACACTCGCTTTGTGCGTGTGTGCGCTGTGTTGTGCAGATGCTTCGTTTCTGGAGCCAGTAAGCCGGGACAATGCAGGTATCGCTTGCCCAAGGGGCAGAAGCCCATCTCCGAAATCTTCAAGCTTGTGGAGGCAAGAAGAGTATGAATGAATAGGGGAACGGGAGCAAGAAGCGGTCCTTACTAGGGCACTTCATATGGATCCTGATATCTTGGAGCTATAGGAGCAGGGTTTCTTAATCAGGTTCCGACATTATTCAGCTCCTGATGCTGCAACAGGGTTTATGGCTTTTCTGGCTCTGCTTCTGATCCGGTTGCATCGGTACGTTTCGGTGGACTCCTCTGTGGGGTTGGGAAACAGGCCTGCCCTTCCGGCAGAAGTCAGAAGCTTCGCAACAAGGAACCTTAAGGACGAAATGAACCTTAGCAGGGTTGATTAAGGTTCATGCACCATATAGGGATTTATAGTATAAAGGTTTAGGGCCCCTACTTACAGGGTCATTCGGCCCCCAAGGAATTAAACCCGAAACTCGATCTCACTAAAGGCCGCGAGCCTAGTGGGGACAGCTGCAAACCTAGCCAGGAGCGCAAAGAAGCTCTCCGTGGCCCGGCACAAGTTTGCCCACTCTTTGCCATGTTTTTTGGTACTGAAGAACTAAAAATGTATATCAGCTTGAAGGAGGCATGCAGGCTCGGCTGAAACGCTGGCTGTTGATGGGTCGGAGTTTGGACTGGAGATGAGGCCTTCGGGCTTTGTTGACCAGGAGGTTCGATTTTGATCGGATTTTGGTGTCCTCGGGTCCAACGGCTTAGGGCTATTATAAGGTACCATGGGTTCTAAATCCTCCATTCTGTTCCAGTCCGGGGAAGTCAGGAATCTCCGAGTACTCCGTGTCTGAGACCACGCTGGAGCAGCTGTTTATACAGTTCGCCAAGCACCAGGCCATCTCACAGCTCGGCATACAACGAACCCCAGAAAGCTGGAACGTGCATTTCGGATGATTACAGTAAACCCCATAAAGTTGGAAACTGGATTAAGGCCAAATAGTGCTGGGATTCCCTATACATTACTCTTAAGGATGGAGGCTCTGGGGTTTCCAACTTTTGGGCTTCTACTGTAGTGCTAGCTTCGGCTTACGTTTGATGTGCATTTGCAGTTGCACCCAAATGCAGGCGTCTACCTGTACGAAAAGCACAAAATGCCCAAGCCACGAACCCCAAAACACTGAAACGCGAAACCCTAAACCACAACCCCAAACCCTTAAACCCTAAAGTCCGCAAACTCCTACATAAGCCCCAAGACCTTCAAGCCCTTGAAGAAGCCTTAAAGGAGCCCCTTAAGGGAAGCCCTAAGGAAGCCCTAAGTGCTAAACTCCACATCTCTGGGCTCGTGGCCGTGGGCCTCATCGGAAGGAGGAGGAGTCGGAGGATTCTTCGGCCCAGGCCAAGCGAGCGTCAGGGCTTTTTGGGGGTTTCTGGTCTCGGGGCTTAGTGTTGTAGTTTTGGGGCTTAGGGTATTTAGGGTTTGGGGCTTCGTGGGTATATAAGGGTTTGAAGTTTAGAGATTTAGAGGTTTAGGGTTTCGGAGTTAAGGGGTTCGAAGGTTAGGGGTTCAGACGTTTAGGGTCGTTTAGGGTTTCGCGTGTGGGGGGGGTTAGGGTTTATAGGGTCTTTTAAGGGTTTAGAGTTTAGGGGCTCATAGGTTTTATGGCTTTAGCGAGTACAGGCCTAGGCTCCGGAAGATGGCTGATGTCGTCGGGGGTGAAGGCTTGATTCGCCTTGTAATATAGGGGCCTGAATAATTACCTATCTTGTTTTGGGGTTCCTTACAGGGGTCTATAAGGGATCTTTCGTAGGGCCTAGGGTTCTGTGGCCTAGTAATTACCTATACTATTTTAGGGGTTCCTTGTTTTAATTATAGTAGAATGGGCACCGAAACCCTATTCTAATTATTAAGGCCCCTATATTACACCTGCTCAAACCGAACCCCCCATGCCTGGTCGCAGGACGCGGCCCTTCCCAACAAGGACACAGAGCCATGGACTCGGAGCCTACCAAGGGGGTTTATGAAGCATGCGGTTCGACCATCTCAAAGGGGAAAAGGAGGGACCCTTAATGGGGACCCCTACCCTAGAATGGGCTATATAATGTGTATATAATAGCTATATTAAGGTTATATACCTAGGGGTCCTTATTAAGGGTCCCTCCTCTCACCCTTGGACCATCGGCACCCTTTGACGTTGAGTTTTTTGGGGGGACTCTAGGGTTCAGGGAGGCTGTGGACACAACATGACAGGGGCTTGGGATCTCAAGGTACGTGGTCCGAGGCCAAGGGCTTAGGATTTAGGGTTAGGTACACCGATACAGTAAGAGTCTATGATAGGGCTACTATTAAGGTCCTACTATATCTATATTACGAATATTATTCAACTTTTACTGAGTGGGGGCCGTACCTAAGATTTAGGGCTTTAGATTTTTTTTTGTTGGGTTTTGGCTCTTGGTTGCGGGACATGGCGACGTAGCCTTGCATTGTCCGGGTCGATGTTGCTTTTGTTGTGATAAAGTAGTCTGGCAAGGAGCCCCACTGTTGCTCGATCGTCGCGTTATTTGGCACCATGCTCCCTAGCAGTATAACGCTAGACTAAGGATTTGCATCAGGAAACGGCAGGGAATACTGTTCCGATTTAATCAGTAAAGTGTTCCGGCCCCCAAATTAAAAAAAACGTTCGGAAATACTTTAGGTTTCCGGCTCAAGATCTGGGATAGAATAAAGGCTCACCGACCTGCAACAGAGAGGATATCCTGTCGAAACGAAGTCGCCGAAGATCTCAGTTTGAGGCGGAGCCGAAGTCAGAGAGCTCCAGGGCGTCGCGAGGAGCCATGCCGACTCGCGCGGACACGGTGTGCAAATACGGCTTGGGTGTGGAGCGGCAGGATCAAGAGTTGCAGAAGTGCATAAGCTGCGGCCGCAACTGGCCCAAGCAGGTCAAGCAGGGCAAGGAAGAGGACGAACCGACTGGAACGCGGAAGCTATTCCACAAGCTTTAAATCATGTCAAGGACCCCCTTACGCCCCAAACCCAGGCCCGAAACTCCAAAAACCCAAAGCCCTCAAGCCCTCAAGCCCAAACCCCAAAGCCCCAAACTCAAAACGTCTCCAAAACCCTGAACTAAAACCCTTAAGGCCCTAGACCCGAAGCTCCAAAAACCTGCACAAGCCGCCCTAAAGCCCAAAAGACCCAAAACTCCCAAACTGAAATTCTCCTTGCTTCAACACCGCCCTAAACCCTAAAACCCTAGACCCCCCCCCCAAAAAAAAAAAAAAAGAAGCCCTAGCCCTGAAACCTTACAGTAGAAGCCCAAAAGTTGGAGACCCCAGAGCCTCCATCCTTAAGAGTAAATGTATATTAGGGAATCCCAGCACTCTTTGGCCTTAGTCCAGTTTCCAAATTTCTGGGGTTTACTGTCCTAAACAGCCCTTCAAGCCCTAAAGCCCTAAAGCCCTACCGACAAGCCCTCAAACCCTAAACCCTTAAAAAGCCGAGGTCCAGCAGCAGCGAGGAAGCCAGGGAGCTACGCGAGTTGCGCGTGGCTGCAGGTGGGACTTGGTGTGTTTGGGGGTTGGGGTTCAGGGTTTAGGGTTGTTTGGTTGAGTTTAGGGTCGTTTAGGGTTTAAGGTTTGGGTTGTTTTAGGGTTTATTTAGGGTTTGGGGTTTAGGGTTGTTTTGGGTTTAGGGTTTGGGGTTTAGGGGTGTTGATGATGGCTCCTTAAAGGGGGATGTTATAAGAGCCATAGGGGTTTGATACTGTTGCTTTACTCAGGACCTGTTGGGCCTCAGCCTGCTCGGGGTTCAGGGTTTAAGATTCAGGGCTGCTGTGACCGTTATGGTTAAGGTTTAGGGCTTTACGATCCCTAAAACCTAAACCCCCCCCCCCCCCACCAAAGAATTGCTTTAGCCCGAAGCTCTAAACCCCGAACCCGAATCCTCAGGCACAGGATCTGGCGCACCTCGTTGACATAGCCGCTCGCTTTAATGCTGCCTGGCATCTCGAGAGGTCCCCTGTTGAAAGCCTTGAAAACCCTAAGGCCTCTAAGCCCGAAGCCCCAAACCCTAAAGCCCCCAATCCTAAATCCCCCCACCCAAAAGACCCAAGAACCCGAAACTGAACCCTTAAGCCCCTACACCCGAAACCCTAAAGCCCCACCCAAAAGACCCAAAAGCCCTGAAATCAGACCCTTAAGCCTCTCAACCCCACACCCTACGTAAAGGCGACGACCTGGGTCTTTCAAGAAGCGACTCACGAGCAGCCCAGGCTCCGCGCGTTTTTCGGCACAGATCACCGCGAAGTGGCAGAAAGGGCGAAGAGGGTAGGGTTCAGGGGCTTTAGGCTTTAAGGCTTTTGTTCAGGGCTTCAGGTTTAGCATTAATGGGACTCTAGCCCCCCGCAACTGCAGGGCTAACTTGAAAGGCTTGGACGTCCAGAAGGCTCTCTGGACGAAGGTGTAGGACACACCTGAAGCCCTAAACCCTAAACCCTAAACCCTATACCCTAACCCTAAACCCTATACCCTAAACCCTAAACCCTAAACCCTAACCCTAAACCCTAAACCGCCTAAACCGTAAACCGCTGAACCCTAGACCCGAAACCGAAGTTTGAGGAGAACCGACCCAGCGGCTTCGCTTGGCCTCGCCTTGAGGTTCGTGCTGTCCGGTCTGCCCTTTAAAGGGATCTATAGGGGTTCTTTAAGGGTATAGGGTTTAGGATTTAGGGGTTTTGGGGGGGGGTTTGGGGGTTTAGGGGAAAAGGAGGGCAGCCCAGATCCAGTTCCCGCAGCATCGGTCGACAGCCGGTCCCGTCTGTTACATACATAAACAAACTCAAAACATATCAACTCTGTACTATGCTGTATCTGAACCTTGAACGAGGTGTATCAGGTTCTCGGTCTTTATGTGTGAAACCCTACCTTAACCCCAAAGAACCTACCCTTGAAAGGATTTATATAAAGAAATCATTTTAGGGAACCCCGGAAATGGTAGGTTCCTTAGGGTCCAGGTACACCCTCAAACCGAAACCTGTGGAAGCCGTCATCTTCTCGTCGCCTTTGGCTCAAGGCTTTTCAGGGCTCGAGAGCTCCGCGTGTTGACCCTCATTGCTGTTGGTCGGTTTAGGGTTTAGGGTTTAGGGTTATATGCTCATCCGCCGGGTCATATGCTGCTGCAGTACGGTGGGCTTGTATGGTATGCGTTTTCTAGCAGGAAGAGTCCAGCAAGTGCTAGATATCTGCAAGAAGCCCACTATTTCGAAACAATACTGCACTAAGTGGAGCGGGCATACAGGAGCCCAGAACGGCGGCGGGTTGTAGGGTTTCTTAGGGTGCAGAGTCAGTGCTTTTTAGAGGGCTTTCAGGGGGAATCTGACCCTTTTGCCCAGCGTTGGGGCAGCTGCTGGAGCAAGGTCCCCGGCACTGTGCCCAGGCGAAGTTTCATTAAAGGGGAGTTTCCGAAAATAGGGGATCCCAGAGGCCCTAATCTAGTAGGAACCTTATTATAAGGACCCCCAAAACAAGGTACCCCCAATATTCGGAAACTCCCATTTTTGAACCTTTGATGGAGTGGTTTCAGTGCTCTGAAATCAAAACGGTTCTAGGGGTTTGGCAGTGAATGCAAGAGATGGGGACTCTGCACTCAAAGCCCTAAGCCCAATGCCTCAAACCTAAGCCCTCTCTACCTAAGCGCTGTACCGAGATGGGCACGTAAACTGCTTGGAAGTGTTGGAAATTGGAGGTGCTGGGGCCCAATCTCATCCCCCAGTCACCCCAGTCCCTCAGTTCCTGTGAGGGTGCGATTGCTATAAGGCTTCAACAACGAGCTCCTTCTGGAGTTCCGAAGTAATTACTTTCATCTTCAGCCACAGCCGAGGCTTCTTCCAAGCTGCAGCGGTAGCAATGGAGGATCCGGTTAGGGTTTCAACTTGTTGGTGGAAATTGTGGCACAGCCGAGTGAGTACATATATAACAAATAATATGCACAGCCATGCGCATCCGCATAAATGCGAGCACGTACAGGGAATAGCTTATCATGCATACGCCCCTTAACCCACAAAAGGGGGTGAACGAGCTGCGAAGGATACTGCCGCCACCGAACCGGCAGATCCCGCGCCGGCGGCGGCTTCTGCTGACCCGGCCGGGCAAAGGGTTTAGGGGTTTGGGGTTAAGGGTTTAGGGTTTAGGGTTTAGGGATTTAGTTTGGGTTAGGGCGTAGGCGATGGATCTTCCTGGCTTGGGTTTGGAGTGGGTTTGGCTTTTTCGGCTTTCGGTTTGGGGTTTGGGGCTTAGGGGATTGGTCTTCTGACTTCTCGGTTCGGGTCAAGTAGTTTAAAGTTTAAACCTTAAGCCCCAAGAGGGTTTCAGGGTCAGTGCCATAAAGGGGTTCACACTATAAAGGAATAGGGCCCCTACTTTCACGGGTCATTTTGTCTTTAAGGAATGGTTACTTCAGCGGTTTGCATGGAGGTCGTCGTTGGCTGAACTCAGCATAGCCATAGCAGCACGGTTTGGAAGCGGTCGGGGTTTGGGCTTTTTAAGACCCTGGACCCTACAGCTGCTTTCGTCCGGGCGGCACGCATAATTTCCCCAAACAGTGACCAATACTATTCCTGGAGCGCAGCTTAGCTTATTTATGCCGTAGTCTACCCCAAAACCCCTTTGTAATTACTCCGTAAGGCCCGTGTTTTATGCTAGCGCATAGAAGCCTCTACAGAATGTAGAACGTGTAAACCAAAGTAGTCCTCTTTCACTGCGTCAGCGCAGGGTATAGGGTTTCGGGGGGTATAGGGTATAGGGTTATAGGGTTTAGGGTTATAGGGTTTATAGGGTTCATAGGGTTCATAGGGTTTATAGGGTTTATAGGGTTTATAGGGTTTATAGGGTTTATAGGGTTTAGGGTTTATAGGGTTTATAGGGTTTATAGGGTTTAGGGTTTAGGGTTTATGGGGTTCAGGGTTCAGGGCATAGGCCCAAAGCATCTGCGAGTGCCAGGCCGCCGCGAGCTCATCGAGCGCGGCTCCGAGAGCTCAGTCTGTCCAAGATGAGGCGCCGGGACTTTTTCCCAGACCCCCGGGAGTATCCAAAAAGTAGATCCCTTAACGGGGGTTCCTATAAAGTACCCTTAGTAGTATAGGGCCTCAAATTAGGGGATCTACTTTCTAGATCCTCCCGGGGGTCTGGGTTGTAGCTACTTAGAGGATCATGGGAAAGGGGTATCAGTCCCCTAAGTGGGTATAGGGTTCAGGGTCTATAGGTATACTTAGAGGATCATGGGACTTAGTAGGTAAGGCTCCTTGAAGGGATCTGTAGGGTTCTTTAAAGGGGTCTATAGGGTTTAAGTTTAGGGAGTACTTAGAGGATCATGCGACTTAGTAAGTAGGTTATAAATAGGGTTAAAAGTCCCCTAAGTGGGCTTACCCTAAGAAAAACCCTACTTATAACCTTACTTACTAAGTCCCATGATCCTCAAATTAGGGTCTGAGGGTCTGAGGGTCCAACGGTCTACGGGTTTAGGGTGTGTAGGGGTTTAGGGTTTGGGGTGTGGGGTTTGGGTTTTTTTACCCTAGTTCTAGGTATCGATTTGGGATAGTGTTTATTTGCCTTAAGTTATTCTTTCCATTATTAGGAGCTTAATTTCAAACTTTTTAAGCGACTTTTTTGTGGGCTGTTGAAATCGACACCTAGTTCTGCTTATAATGCGCCTAGGTCTTACTTTAGCCTACTAGAACCTACATGTTTGGTAGGCGGTAGGGTCCCCACAAAAGATGAGGTGCCGGGTTAGGGCTTACAGTTTAGGAGTTATGGTCTATGGTTTAAGGTTGTATGTAAGGGTTTCGGACTTAGGATATGTAGAGGGTTGTGGTTCAGGCTGGCTTGAGGCTTTAAGGGTCTAAGCTTAGGGAGTGGGTCTGACACCGGCAAGCTGTTTTGATTAGTAGAGGAATGTTTAGCTTCTTGTTGAAGGGCTTAGGGATTCTTGAACCCTAAACCCTAAGCCGTCTTCAAGCATCTCTTGGGGCTCCAGTTGCCGAAACGGAGGTTGCTGGGATACAGTGTACATCCTTGAACCCGAAGCCTTAAAGACTAGTAGCCCGCTACTTACTTGTAGGTGGTTGTCAAATTATGGTCCCTTTTTGGGTACCCTATGTAAATATTAGGTGCCGTACTATATTAGGGACCCAAAAAGGAACCCTAATTTTGACAACCACCCATTCAGGTAGCTGGAGCTCTAGGCTTGCTTCAGGCGCAGAAGCCTCGACCCCCCCCCCCCCAAACAGGCCGACCCCAGACTCACTTTACAACTCCCACAGGTTTTAGGCTCTAGGGCTTCAGGTTTTAGGGCTTTAGGGTTGAGGGCTTTTAAAGTTTATGGTTTCGGGGCTTTCGGTTTTGTCGGATCGCTGTGAGAATCCTTACTCAGGGACGGGGTTCATGAATCAGAGTTTGACAACATCCTCCTGGAGCGGTAACCTTAGGCGCCCATCCCTGAAGCCTAGGGCCAAAGCCAAGGATCCACATATAGTCCATGGTATGCATATGGCACGAAACTTCCCAGAGCCCTCTTCCAAAGATTCGGGCTGGCCTTTCAACCCCCAAGTCCCAGTTCTCACAGGAACTCCAAGCCAATTTTTGACAACTACCCAAATCCTAAAGCCTAAACCCGAACTCTACACCCTAAACCCCAAAAAAACTCTAAGCCCTAAAAACCCCTAAGCCCCTGCACTTTCACAAAAAACTCTAAGCCCTAAAAAACCTTAAACCCCTGCACTTTAACAAAAAACGCTAAACCCTAAAAACCCTAAACAACTCTAAGCCCTAAAAACCTTAAACCCCTGCACTTTAACAACAAATTCTAAACTGTAAACCCAAATCCTAAACCCCCAAAACCTAAACCCTAAACCCTTAACAAGAAACTCTAAGCCGTAAACCCAAATCCTAAACCCCCAAAACCTAAACCCTAAACCCTAAA